AAGATAAATAAATAAAATCTTTTAAAAAAATATTTAATATAAGGTCTGGCTGGTGTGGCTCAGTGGATTGAGCACCAGCCTGAGAATCAAAAGGCCACAGGATTGATTCATATGCAGTCAGGGCACACGCCTGGTTTTCAGGCCACGACCCCAGCTGGGGGAGTGTGAAAGGCAACCTATCAATGTTTGTCTCCCACAGCAATGTTTCTCTCCCTCTCTTTGTTCCCCCTCACTTCTCGTCTCTAAAAAAAGATAAAAAATTTAAAAAGATATATAAGACTTCTACACTGAAAACTGCCAAACAGCCCTGGCTGGTGTAGCTCAGTGGACTGAGTGCGGGCTGCAAACCAAAGGGTCGCCAGTTCGATTCCCAGTCAGGGCACATGCCTGGGTTGCAGGTCAAGTCCCCCCAGTGGGGGCCACATGAGAGGCAACCACACATTGATGTTTCTCTCCCTCTCTTTCTCCCTCCCTTCCTCTCTCTATAAAATAAATAAATAAATAAAAATTTTTAAAAAGAGTTCTGTTAAAAAAGAACTGCAAAACAGCTCATAAAGTTAAAGAAGTAGAATTATATTGTGTGCAAGAATCAGAAGATTCAATATTAAGATGGCCTCTCCCCAAATTAATCTATAGGTTAAATATAATCCTAATCAAAATCCTAGTAGAACTTTTCTCAAGTATAAATATAGAAATGCGAAGAGCCCTATTACATAAAAAATAAAACATCTGAAAAGAACAACAAAATTGGGAGACTTAAACTATCTGATTTTGAAGACTTACTATGAAATTATACAGTAATTAAGACAGTATTGGCATAAATAAAGACCAATGAAACAGAATAAAGATAATGGAAATACAGCCACACATATAAGGTCAACTGAATTCTCACAAAAGTGAAAATGTAATTCAATGGGAAAAGGTAACATTTTCAACAAATGGTACTAAAACAACGATATAGGAAAATGTGGTTTCCACATTTATGTGGAAAAAATGAATTTTAAACACTATCTCACACCATAAGAAGTACAAATTGGTATGTACGAAATAGGGGAATATTGAGAAGAGTGCAGGAAATGAAGTAGCCGAAGAACTTACATGCATCGTCCATGGACATGAACTAAGGGAGGGGACTGCTGGAGGGAGTGAGGGAACTCGGTGGAGGGGACAAAGGGGAAAAAAATTGGGACAAGTGTAATAACAAATCCAATAAAACATCTCAAAAGTAAAATAAAAAATTAAAATTAAAGAAATTTTAATAATCATAGATTTGCATGTACAACCTAAAATAATTTTTTTAATCAGAGGAAAGCATAACAATGTCTTTGCAATCTTAGGGGTACAAAAAAATTCATAGAACTTAAAAAGCATTAACCATTAAAAAAAAAGGCTGACAAATTGGACTTGACCCAAATTAAAAACTTCTCCTTGAAAACAAGCTGCAGACTGAGAAAATATCCACATCCCATCTATCTGACTGAGGTGGAAGGCCTAAAATTGAGGCCCAGTATTATATGCTGCCTTGACGAGTGATGAAACTTCACTTGTCATTTCAGACAACTTACTGTATTTTTTGGACTGTAAGATGCACCTAGGTTTTAGAGGAGGAAAATAGAAAAAAAATTTGAAGCAAAAAATGTGGTAAAGTATTTAATAACATAATATTTCACCAATGTAAATGTAAACAGAACTCAACAGCAGCATTAACAACCATATTCCACCCAAATTTGCGGGGGGAAGGGAGAGGGCAGGGTGCATGTTATAGTTTGAAAAACATAGTAAGTGTTAAATTCCCCTTCCTCCAGTGAAAAAAACCCTCTTTCCCACAGGAAACAGGCACAGGGCCTCCTTATTATCCCTAAGTAGTGTGTGTCGGTGTCCCACCATCCATGGAGTTATTCAAACAAGCCAATCACATCCTCCTGTAAGAACCATGGGGCATCTCACTCTCTTGACACAATAAAGCCAGCCTCTCACAATCCCTGGTTGCTCATTTTGTTCCTAAGTGCAATCCTCATGTAGCTCTGTATGGCATGCAATGTCCTCCTCCCCTGGGGTGTGAATATATGTGACTAACAAACTACTCTTGATTTCATCTGACAAGTTTTAGGTTAATTATGTGTTCAGCCATCCCCATTACCTTCAACAGGGTGAACAGAAGGCAATTAATACACTGACAGAAGACTTGGATCCAGAATAAAGAACTCTCACAATTCGACAGTAAAAAAGATAAATCCAATTTTTAAATAGGCAAATTTCTGGTTGCAAACAAAATGGAATAGATGCACTTTTCCCTATTCTTTCTTGCTCAGGAAAAATCCCTAGATATTATATATAAAACAAACATCAGAAGACTCTGCAAAGTAAACAGAATAAGGCATACCAGCTAAAAATTCAAGACCCAAAGACTGACACAGTGGATTTTTCTTTTTGCCTCATATAATCTAGACTAGTTACTAGAGAGGCTGGCAACCTAGAAATTCAGTGGGCACTTACAAAAAAGCTCTAAGAAAAACTTACTCTCTCTAGCCAAAGGACCAGGAAAATGAAAATCAAATTTGGCATCATATAGGATTTTTTAATTAAATTTATTGAGGTGACATTGGTTAATAGGGTCACATAAGTTTCAAGTATACATTACTATGATACATGACCTGTATATTGCATTATGTGCAATATATAAGTAGGTTATTAGTGAGTAGTTTCATCAAGTATTAAGGATGGAAGCCAGATTGGAAAGGGATAGAGAGGAAACACAGACATTTGCTTCTGGCCATAGAATATACTAAATAGTCTGAACAACTATCCTGGTAACAACTAAATGATACAAAATATCACTATTATGTTATATAATTGTACATATTATATATTTCTTATGAACTGAATGTTTCTGTACCCCCAAATTCATGTTGAAATCCTAACCCACAATGTGATGGTGTTAGGAAGTGGGGCCTTTGGGAGGTGATTAGACTATGAGGGTGAAGAATTCATGAATGGGACTAGTGCAGTTACAAAAGAGACCTAAAAGCTCTCTCATCCCTTCTGCCAGGTGAGACAGCCACCTACGAACCAAGAAACAGGCCCTCACCAGACATAAAATTTCCTGGAGTTTTGATCCTGCACTTCTCAAACTCTAGAACTGGGAGAAATAAATGTCTGTTGTTTAAGCAGCTCAGTTTATGGTACTTTTGTTGTAACAAACAGCCTATAATGACTAAGACAATATTATATACATTATATATAATAAAATATAAAACATAACATAAATAAGCAACAAAGCAAGCCATTGCTTTATTTCTTAATATTTCTGGATATCATGATATTTCAAATTCCATTTAGATGCTGCAAAGGGCAAAATGTTAAAACCTAGAGTTTGTTCCGAATGGGAAGCCGGCCTCAGAGTAAAAGGGAAACGACCCTGAGAGAGAGAATGAGAGACTGAAAGGGAGAGATCAACAGTGACCTGGGCGAGTCCGTACCTCAGCAATGGGCACGTGGCAAAAACAATTTCCCCTGAGAATTCACAATCACCAATAAGCCTCAATTAGATTAGTTGTTGGAATTTATGTTACTGTGTAGTCTGAAGAATTTTAAGCATAGAACTTAATTTAAGAGAGTCCCAAGTAAGTGGCACCTCTAGAGCAATGCTGATGGGCATAATTTATGACATAGGTAAAAACAAATGGGAAGGAAGATAAACTGAGAATGTAAGAAAAAATGGATTCCAGTGCACAAGAGAAAGGACTGAAATTTGATAGGAAAGGAAACTTGTCTTACTAAAGTAAGAAAGAGAACAGAAATGCAAGTTTGGTGACAGAACATTTCATCTTACGACTCCTATTTTCCCATGACATAGAAGGTGACTGAGGAAGGTGGGAACAGGACAAGATACATGGGAGATTTGAGGCTAGAGAACAGATAACAACTATCTCATAAAGTAAGACAATAACCTTAATAAGAAAATACAGCAAGATTACCAGGCACTACTCATTACCCATTGGAGATCTTCTTTTTGGTCTAACTGAAATCAACAATTATTAATAGATTTCTTTCCAGGGTTAGAGCTGTTATAGCTGAGCACTTTAAATTCATCATATCATGAACACAGTTTGAAATATTTTTCTTAAAGACATTTCCTTAAAAACGTGTTCTTAATGAAGCTCATCTGGTACTTTTATTCTAGGTCTCACAATCTTATAAAATATTAACGTCAATACACATATACAAGAAGACAGATGAATTGAAAAGACAAATGGTCAGAGAGAAAAAACAGGAGGATGAATGGTTAGAAAGAAAAATATACCCAAAACACATATGAGAGAGACTCATTAACCAAGAGGTGAGGGAGGAGAGAACAGACAAAAGGGGACTAGGTAGGTGGTACTGCTGGACCCAGAAAGGGGCAACTATCAGAGCAGAATGTGTGTACATCTCTCAGGGACAGTACTATGAGTGATTTTATCTTATTCTCTTTCCTTATCTCTTTTCTCTATAATGTGCAAATATTGTTTGTTTTAAAATAATTATAATAAAGCAATTATTAAGGCTGACCTCAAAATTTTAAGTTATTTCTTTTTTACACTTATTTGTTTTCTCTGTTAATTTTTAATTATCAAAGGTATAATAAAAGTTCTTATGAAATTTTAAAGATAACCTGATTTTTCATTAGTTCAGCAGTTCATGACAGTAAAAACACATAAATATGTACTTATTAACTGAGAATTCTTTAACAACAGATTTTAAATCTTCATTAAATTGAAATTACATTAGCATTAAACACATATTAGCAATATTATTTTTCAGTCTTAATATCCATTTCCTCATTTTCACAACTAAAACCAGTATATATCTACAAGTATGATTCAAAAGTTACATTCCTTTATAAGAAAGATATAACAACTCTTCCTATGAAACTTTAAATTACCAATCATTACTCCAAATATTTGTTATTTCCCCTTAAATAATATTGAATTTTATTATCAAATTATTATTTTTCATACCTCTGAAGAGCTTTCATTATTGACATCCACTGTGTTAACAGGAGTTGCTGAAGAATCTAAGTCAGAACCTTGAGAGCCAACTCTCCCAGGAGTCTAAAACATAAACAGAAGGGGGAAATCAAAGCATATATTAACAATATATTCATAAAATATTTAATAACCTAAATAGTAATCAGGTCTAGGCTAATGCATATGAGGGGCAGCCCCCCCAAAAAATCCAAATTATCTTCTGCAGGGCAGGCCCCTTGTAGTACAGGCTTTCCCCAGTTGGTGAGTGTTCTAGGAACCCCATCTGCATCAGTATACCAGCTGGCATTATTGTTAGAGGCTGCATTTGTTTTTAATGAGTTTTTTTGAAGACCTTTTTGAGACGTTTGTCCATTTCATGATAGGTGATTTACAAGCGCACCTGCCCATATCAGGATGGGTGGTCAGCAGTTTTTGACCAAAAATTGCATGACCTCCGTGCTCACCCCAGGTCTCTATTCACCCCATCTTGCCCCAAGTGACTTTTTTCTGTTTCCCTGCGTGAAAGAAGTCCTCAAAGGGAAATATTTTGGCCATGAGGAAGAGGTGAAATTAAAAATGGCAGAAGCACTAAAAGACATCAAAATCAATGAGTTTAAAAACTATTTTGAGCAGTGGAAAAAAGTCTTCATGGGTGTATTGCATCAAATAGAGAATCCTTGAAAGGTGACTGAAATTTAAACTGTAAGAACAAATGCATATTTTTTAATAAATAAATTTCAGGGGTTTTTGGTAATCCCTCATAAGTATATGTTCTCAATAATAACAAACAGTCCTAGCAGCAATTTTTTACTGAAAACCGACTGGACCTAATACTGTATCAAGATCTCTATATGCGTTATCTTACTTTCACTCTTTTTAAATTAATAAAAATTTTACTTTTGGATATAGTGCTTTATGGTTTCAACCCACTTTCACAGAACATCTAATTTAATCACAATGACATCCCTGTGAGAGGCAGGAAAAAGGTTATCTCTATAAATGGAAGACAGATTAAAAGCAGCAAAAGGACTTCTCAAGATTTTATTGTACAAAAATCAGAAAGAAGCAGGAATAAAATACTGATCTGATTCCTCTTGCATTGCTCTGCCTACTATACCAACTAAACTACAATCATTTGAGAGGTGCTCAAAAGACCAACATAGTTCACATTATCTAGTCACCCATCCACCTACCAGCCATTACCAATCTGGCTCCAATACTTGATATTCCACCACCAAAGATATAATGTGCAGAGTTAGAGTTGTTTCTCCCCCTGCAACTGTTATCATCTAACACAATCATCATTAATATCTAAAAGTTACCTTAACGGAATTGAATGTCTATTAAAACACTGAGCAAATAGATTCAGAGCACAAGAACTGACTAATAATCCTTATTTAAAAAATAATTCTATAATTCTCACTTAAAAAAAGAGAGAACCAAGCTAGAATCTAAGTAACTTGCCCAAAATCACATAGCTAATAAATGGAATAGAGGATTTTTAGCTCCTGAAGTCTGGCTTTTAATCACTAACTTATTCTGCTTCTCCATTGGAAATATTCACTGAGCTGTACTTCAAGCACTCATCATGATCTAGAACAATTCAATACACATTTGCCTCAATAAATAAACATCTTGTAATAATCTTACTATCATCACCAAAAGTACCCTTTTTAAAACTTGCCTAAAATAATCCTATTAAACAGACCTGAATAAGCCCAAGAGGTATTCGAAGTATTTACTTCAACCAAATAAGATACCTGCAACAGATAGGCTACACCAAATGGCTGGTAATACAAAAACAGATCCATATTATCAACAACCACATGATCAATAGAAAGCAGTATTAAACTCTGCAAAAACTACTATCAAAAAATCAAATTCAAGCTTCTGGAGAAAGAACAGTACTTTAATGGGCAAAAAAAAAAGCACAAAGAAAGTTATCATTTTTTACTGTACCTTTAAAGAAAATATCACTATAATAGAAGTTTTAACAACATGAAGTTTCTTGGAATAATTACCTACTCAGATTAGTTGTATATTTGGATACAATTAAATAATCCACCAATGCACTACTGTAGTCCAAAGTAACCAATAGCTGTGTCCTGCAAATCAATCACTAAATCTAATAGTGGAGGAAAAAAAACAGAAACAAAACAAACACCTAACAGCATCAAAAATACAAATATTTATAGATGAATACCAAAAGTTTTTTCTATATTTGGTGATATACTGAGTCAGAGCTACCAAATTTTCAGTATCTCCCCTCGCCCTATATAAATCCTTTCATTAGGATTTCTTATAAAATGTAATTTTCAGTACTTATCTTGTTACTCTATTGCATCCTCAGCCCACTATAAAAACCAATTAGAAAGATTTTCAAATTTAAAAAGTTTGAAAAGCTATCTATTATATGCAGCCCTTAAGAAGGGAGCTTTAAATTATCACCTAATCCATTTATTATACATAAATGGATAACCAAAGATTTCTTAAGGCCCTTACTACTCTTTTCCTACTATTGAAAGCTAAGAATTTACCACACAACAGATAAAGTGAGAATGTATATGTACAAATGACAAGTACTATTTCATGGAGAATTTTTTTTTTTTTATTTCACGGAAAACATCTGAGGACTTCTCAGGGAGTTATCATGCTTAACCTTCTTATCATATACTTTCCCTAAGTGACCACATTTACTGCTTTAATTTTAATTAAATCTCAATGCTGACAACAATTAAACTCTAAATCTAATCCAGATCTATGCTGAACTTCAAATTCCTATTTTTCTGTCCTACTAAATATTTCTACCGGAAGGCCATGAAAGCACCCCAGAATCAGCTTATTCAAAACTGAAGTCATTATCTTTTCTTAACAAACCTTTCATTCATCTGTATTCTCTCTAAAGTTCTAGAAACATCATATACCTATCTTGCCTAAATCCAAAGCATCACCTCTCTTCCTTAACCTTCACATCCCAACACCAAACTAATTCAATCGCCTATATGAGTTCTGAATCTGTCCTTTGTCCATCTCCTTTGCCACTACCTCAGTTCAAGGTGCCATCATCTCTCACCCAACTATAAAAGATGTACTTTAGCACCATATCTCTCAATACCCACATTTCCAATTGCTTCCTGATTGATTTCCCAAAGCACCTGAAATGAATCATGTCAAAAATCAAACCCTTCATTTACCTCAACCTTTCACCTTCCCAGGGGAAGATTTTGCTTTCCCTCCTAAATTCTCTAACATAAGTTAATAATAATATGCATTTATTAAAAACATCAGTCTAATATGAATAGATATTTGTGCTCCAATTTTGATAGCAGCCTGAAATTCACATGCTATTTTATTCACAATAGTTAAAAGATGAAAACAACTCAAACATCCACTAATGGGTGAATGAATAAACAAAATGTGGTAAATACATATAATGGAATATTATTCTACGTTAAAAAGAAATTCTAAAACATGCTACAACATGGATGAACTTAGGAAGCATTATGCTAAATGAAATAAGCCAGATGTAAAAGGACCGATATGTATAAAACTCCACCTATATGAGGTAGCAGCCTTGGATTATTGGATAGAATAATCCAATTCATAGAGACAGAAAGTAGAATAGTGGTTACCAGAGGCTAGCGGGTAGGAGGAACTGTGACTTACCATTTAATGGTAGTTTGAGATGGTAAAAACTCTATAAAGACAGACAGTTGCCATGGTGGCACAATATTAATGGTGTGCCTTACACAGGCAAAATGTTAAATTTTATGTTATCACATTTTTAAATTTTTAAAAATATTTTTAAATCTAACAGAATCTAAAGTTGGGGATTAAAATAATTATCCCAAGTGCTTTAAGAACACAGCATTTTGACTACATAGCCTTTGTGAGATATATTGACTAGTACAAGGAAAGAAAACTGCTAAAAAAGTAAAAGTCATTTAGTAATCTTTTTTTTAATTTTAATTAATTTATTTAGTTATTTTTCAAGTACAGTTTTTTCTCTATTTCTCCCATCCCAGCCTCTCCCGCCCCTTGCTCCCCACCTCCCTCCCATTTCCACCCCCTTAGTTCTTGTCCCTGTGTCCTTCCTATTTGTTCCTCCAAATCCCTCCCCCTTTTTTCCCTTAACTTCCCTTCCTTCTCCCCTCTGGTCACTGTCCCTTTGTTCTCTATTTCAGTGTCTTTGTTTTTTTTTTTTTTTTTGCTTGCTTGTTTGTTTTGTTGTTTAGCTTCCTGTTAAAGGTGAGATCATATGGTATTTGTCTTTCAGCACCTGGCCATTAAAGTCCTAGAGGAAAACATCGGCAAGAAAATCTCAGATATTTCACGCAGCAACTTTTTTACTGATATGTCCCCTAGAGCAAGAAATATAAAGGAAAGAATAAACAAATGGGATCTCATCAAAATAAAAAGCTTCTGCATGGCTAAAGAAAACAGTATTAAATTAGCAAGACAACCAACTGTATGGGAAAACATAATTGCCACTGATACCTCAGACAAAGGTTTAATCAGTAATCTTATTAACAGTAATATTAATATTATTATTTTAAAGCTATTTTATGTATATTTTTAGAAAAAATAATTATGCAAATGTTACAAACCAAGAAATTCAGTATATAAGTTAAAACAGATAAAAATACAAAAGCAGCCCTGACCAGTGTGGCTCAGTTGGTTGGGCATCATTCTGCAAAGCCAAAGGTCACCGTTTCAATTCCCAGTCAGGGCACATACCTGGGTTGCAGGTTCAGTCCCTAGCTGGGGCACTTCTAAGAGATGATCAATGTTTCTCTCTCACACTGATGTTTCTCTTCCTCTCCCTTCCCCCCCCTCTAAAAAATAAAATAAATAAAATGCAAAATACAAAAAATCAAAAAAGTAAAAACCATTTTGTATTCCTAAATTTGAACTAATTTTGTTTGCTTTCATATACCTTTAAATATAAAGATATACTTATCTTAATTCTATTGCTTAAAGCTTACAAAATGATATTTAAAGATAAATATATCTTATTTCTCATCACTTACAAGCAATGCAACCCAGAGGAATGAGCACCTTAAATGCCCAGATGGTGATATCTA